AAGGACGTAGTCTGCACCTTCTCGTATGGAGGGGAAGTGAGACATAAAATCTCATTCCTTGTTAGCACCTTCTCGTATGGAGTTGGGCATATCAGAAGAGGTAACTCGATCTTTGGTGGAAGCCTATCAGGAAGATACAGTTATGTCTGAGATCATTCGCAAACTGGAGGCTAAGGATAGAGCTACCTCCGATGAGTTTGTGCTGGTCAATGGCTTGCTGTTTCTTGAGAAGGCTGGGAATAAAAGACTGTGTGTTCCAGATAGAAGGTCCTTGCGTAGTTTATTTTTAGGGGAACGTCATGATGCAACTGGTCATATCGGTCATAAAAAGACATCAGCTAACCTAGTGCAGAGATTCTGGTGGCCCACTATGATGCAAGATGCAAAAAGGTACGTTGAAACCTGCCAGGTTTGCCAACGGGACAAACCTAGGACTCAGGCTCTGCTTGGGCTAATCAAGCCCTTGCCGATTCGTGAAGGTCCTCGTCAAAGTGTGTCCATGGACTTCATGGATACTCTTGTGACCAGCAGGAGGGGAAATAGACACATCTTTGTTATAGTTGACCTCTTCTCCAAGTATGCAAGACTAATAGCTATGCCCGAGACCGCTAAACCTGACTACCTCATCAGGTTGTTTATGGATAAGTGGGTACGGGACTTTGGTTCACCTAAGTCCATCATCAGCGACAGGGATGTTCGCTTCGCAAGCGAACTGTGGCAAAACACAGCCCAACAGATGGGTACCAGACTGCAGATGACGTCAGGTAATCACCCTAAGTCAAACGGACAGGCCGAGCAGATGAACAGAATAGTGCAGCACCTACTAAGGCATTACTTCAAGCCAAGTCAGGATGAATGGGACGAGAAATTACCTCTCGTCACCAGCCTGTAAAATAACACTATACACAGCACTACTGGCATGACTCCCAATCAATTGCACCTTGGTTGGAAGCCTAGAACCGCCTTAGATTTTCTGCTACCTGAGAGTCAACCATCTGCAGCACCTGGCAGCATAGAGTTTGCTGTCAAGTATGAACAGATGCTGCAACAGGCTGTAGAGCACATTAGAAAAGCTCAAGATGCCATGATGGCATTTGAGAATAAGCACAGACAGCCATCTCAATTTCAGGTAGGAGAACTAGTCTAGGTTAAATCATCTGAGCTGGGACAGGAACTGGGAATCTCTAGAAAGCTAATGCCACAGTACTTCAACCCATGGGAGGTCCTAGACATAGTGGGGGATCAGATAGACAGACCTTCCTATGTGATTCGCATCCCACCTCACCTACGCGCACACACAGTTTTTCACGCCTCAAAGCTGGCACCTTTCGCCGAGACTGCACACTTTCCCTCCAGACGGTCAATGCTGCCCCCAACCATTAATGCTGAAGTCAAAATCGACGGAATCGTGGAGCATCGAATGATGCCAGTGCCTAAACCACCGGGCAGATGCTGCCCTCCCAAGCCGAGAATACAATATCGTGTCAGATTCAGACATCATCTGGATCCCAGCGAAGATCGGTGATTCACCAGAGAAGGACTCCTGCAAACAGCACCTCAAGTTATTGCAGGCTATGGAAGAGAACTCAAGGGGAAGATGCCTGCAGACTAGAAGACTTCTCAGAGGACTGTCGACTAGAAGACTTCTCAGAGGACTGTCGAAGTAAAGGAGGAGGGAATACGAGGATCTGAGTCCTCGGCAGGCCTAAGAGGCCCTGTTACAGAAGTGCCCGCCCTAAGTGACGGCGGGCCTAACAAATCGCGAGAGGCCCTCTGCTGTCAATTTCGCATTTGGGGTCCAGGCAGTTGTGACGCACCAGTTGGTTGAGGAAAACACAGGCCGAGCAGCAAAGACATTTCCACGGCCTACCAGGCCTTTCCAGAAATGCAGGCCCTGGGCAAGATTCGCAGCCTCGTACACAGACAGTTGGGAGGCCCAACCAAACGAGGCCCAGCAGCTGTAACAGAGGCACAGCCTCGAGGGGCCTACCGGAAGCTTCTGGGCAGCGGCCCAGGCCAGGCAGGCCGCTGGGGCAGGCAGGCTCTTTCCATATAGGAAAGAGCTCGCTGCCTGGGCTCTCATTCAGGCACTTGCCAGGTGATGCGGCAGCGCTGCTGGAGCGATTGCTCGCGGGCTTCTGCGCGCATGCGGTCGTGCAGGAAGCAGGGCGCTGCTGAGGGCAGCGCCATAGCCCAGCCTCAATAGCTGGATGGGCTTGGACTACAGTGAGGCGTAGGGTTGGTCTTCAGGTGTATAGAGGGAAGACGTGGGTGTAAGTCGAGGGAGAGAGAGAAGGATGATGATGATAATGATGTGAGGGCACATACCTGGCATTGGCGATGGTCTGCATTGGGCGACATCTTCAAGTACTTCGTGGGATGCTGACGTCAACAGTTGCATTGTCAATTAGTAGGCAGATTGTAGCTATGTAGGAAGTAGGCTGGGCGCCGAGCGCCAAGTAGGGAGAAGGTCCTGGACTCTTGTGTTGGTGGTGGCGAGAGCAAGCTCTCATTGACATTGGTTTTCAGCGTTACGATTCTCCATTGGTGTCATATTGGTGCAATGCTGCTTTCTGGACACTGATACTTTCTCGCTTTCAATGTGATTGTGCATTCTGGATATGGTCATCTCGCTACTGTTCATTTTTCTTGCACCAGAGTAGTCACGCCGACGGTCGGCGCCCCTGGATTGGTCGGGGGCAGAAATGGTTAACGGGAACCCCCATTTTCAGGCCCTGCGTAACGAGTCCAAAACTGAAATTAGGGTTTTGGGGTCAAATTTTATGTTTTTGATTTTTTTTTAATTTTTTTTTTTCTTGCCTGTTCTTGTTTTGGTTCAAGGTTGGTGTGTGCCGAACTTTGTGTCATTTGGAGAATTGGAATTTCCTCTGTAAAGATTTCTGAAATTTCTCAAGATTTCTGAAATTGAGATGTTGGCGAAATTTCATGAAAATGCACTTTTGCCTTGCTGTTTTATATGTTTTTTATTATTATATTTTGGATTTTTTTTTGCAGTTAGTTAGTATGCTCAAGTTTGATTAAAACGACCCTTTGCTTTTCATATAAATGGCATGGCAAGTGGTCTGAAAATTAGGGTCTCCGTTAACCTTCTCTCCGTCGGACTGGTCAGCACCTATCGGTCGGGGGTCGGTCGGCACCTCGCAAAGTAACCCCATCAACACCCCCATAAGCCCCTCCAACACCCTCATACACCCCCATACCGCCCCCTAACACCCTCATAACCCCTCTATACCTCCCTCATAACTCAGATTTGAAAACAAAAACACTGGATGGCCCTCTACAGACTGCCGACCAGTCCCCCTACGGGTCGGCGCGACTGGTAGGCGAGCCGACGGCCTACGGTAGGCGTCGGCCGTAGGCGGTCTGACAACCCTGTTGTACACCTTCAGGGTAGGGCAGTTGGCATTTCAGCTTGAGAGCGCTGGCACCAACCTGCCTCATCTCAGGGTTAACGGCCGAGAGTGTCGTACACCGGGAGATCTTTATGGTACCCAGTCGCACAAGCGTCACCCTCAGTCCCCCTGAGGTGCTGTGAGGAGCCCTTCCCTTCTCATCAAGAGCCACCTACCCCAAGCGGGTACAGTATATTGGGCCATCCCCCCAAGGGGTGCCTGACCCTAGTAGGCGAATGCACTGTCGCCCAGCTGCTGGGTCGCCGACGGCAGGCACAGATCTAATTCCAGCCAGCCAACCGTAGATACTCCAGAGTGGTGCCAGCTGCAATCTTATTCTCGCACAAGACAGCGGGCTCAGGACCCCCCTCTGGTTGACCGAGCACCATTCATCAGGCTCGGACAGGGAACCAGCAGCCTACACCTAAGCATCCCCTGGGGCATGGCGGGGATCGAACCTGCAACCTGCGTCCCCGAAGAACGGGTGTATTTCGAGGTCTAACGCCTGGCCTGCAGCATGTGCCACAGGTGCCCCATCGGGCATGGCAGCGCTCGGACCCGCAACCTGTGGAGGTGAACACACAGGCACCCAATCCATCTGGCTTACAATGCAAATGCAGTGTGCGAATGGCCATAAGCTCTGCGCACTGTGCAGTGAATCCACAATATCAATATTCAGAACATCACACCGGAGTGCAGGCCTGAGGACTCGAAACCACCCCCTAAGCCACAACAGTGAATATTGCAGAATAGTAATATCCAGTACGGCGCACCAGAGTGCAGGCTCGAAGATTCGAACCCACACCCTAAGCCACAAAGGTGCATAACCAACTAGCACTCGAGATGGTCTTCAGCCGAAAGTTTTTTCAACTTTTTGTATTGCAATGCTGCATAACATATCTTTTTTCCAGTTTTTTTGTTTTTTTAAGTCCGATTGTTTTGGGGGCGGAGGTCCCCCGATGGATCCGGACACTCTGGACCGGACACTAGACCCCAACATCCAGTCCCAGACCGTGTGCACAGCGGTCCAGACGTCCGGAATGAATATACCACGAATGGGGCCAAGCCCTAGGAGTTGTCCGGAGACAGTTCGGGCCGTTGAAACTTAGAAAGGAATTTCCAAGTTCAGTAATTGCAGGATATGAGGGGCCTAAATGAAAACGAAACCCCTTAGACCCCCAGTACATGGCCCCAGCCAAGTTCAGAATCGTGATTGAACCTCTCCTAAACTTTTGGAGGGTTGGGACAAGGTGTCCGAAGGGTGAGTAGGAAAAAAAATTACCCTGTGCAGTGGGGTGGCACCAGGCACATCCGTGAATTAAAAAAAAAAAATTACGCCAGCCCCCAGGCGAGCCCTGCCCCCAGTCCCCTAATTTTTTTGGGACAGGATCATTCCTGTTCTCCAGATGTACTGATGGTTTAAGCTGTGGCATATAAATATGGTTAATTGGAGCCTTTGGAGGGCTTAAAAAAAAAAAAAAGAGTCCTTTTACCCCACATGCAAACAAGTCGGGATTATATACCTTGCTCCTGAGGAAAGAGCGATAAACCTGTCACTGCTTTCTCATTGCCGCTGATGTCCCTTACCTGAACCACCTTTTCCAGCATGTCAAGTACTAGGCTCCCTTCTCCAAGTTCTGTCATCAAGGCTGCAACTCCCTGTTTCAATAAAGACCACAACCAGTTTTCCAGCAAGAGGAGAAGCACAGGAGCAACAGCAATAACGAGAGAGACGCAGATTAAAATTACAACACGTCCCAGCACCATTTCCAGAAGGGAAGAACGTTCGCAGTTAGGAAAAACGCACAGAGAGGAGATGCACCCTGGAATGCTAGTGAATGGTTTCGATCAGAACAAAAGAATACACCCTGGAAAGCGAATGAATGGTATCGATCAGACACAAAAGAATACGCAACACTCAACGTACACAATGGGAACAAAAGGCGTCGACTGTGCCTGCCTGGTGGGTGAAACACACACAATACAACTGTGAGCAAATAGGTGCAGAAGGTATTATCCTGTCTGGATAGAAGTCATAACCCTGTCTGGATAAAAGTCATAATCCTGTCTGGATACAGACCTGAGACTATCACCTGTTCGAGAAGCGAAGGAACAAGGGGACAAGGGAATGAAGAGGAAGAGGAGGAAAGGGGGAAGAGGAGGAGGAAGAGGAAAGGGGGAAGAACTGGAGAAGCAGACGGCGGCAATGATAACAACAACAACTGTCATCGTCTTTCAGAGCCTGATGATGGCAAAAACAATTACACTCATTCCTTTCAGGGTCGATCAAACCATCCTCTCCGCCGCACAAACTGGGATCCATATTCTCAGCAGTCTGATCCCAATCCAGCCTAATTAGGCAATAGATACGCTCACATCCATCCAGACAGTCAGAGCTAATGTCACAGACATAAGTGTCCTATCAGCCTGCAGAACCAGATGAGGGATACAAAGTGTCAGCAGAGCAGAAAGCCCAAGGGGGCACATCATTGCCAAACTCGAACCCTGTGCGGGTATGGCTCTCAGATACAAACTCCATCTGTCCAGTACGAATAACCTCCCTACCAGCTATCTCCTTTTCTAAACATCTCTCTTCTTTTCTCCTCTCTTCCAAGCAGACGCACTCAGTTCCTTCTCATCAGGCCCCCCTGCTCTCTCTCTCTCTCTCTCTCTCTCTCTCTCTCTCTCTCTCTCTCTCTCTCTCTCTCTCTCTCTCTCTCTCTCTCTCTCTGTTACATGCCCAGTT